TGCGGCTGCTGCCTGAGCTTGCTTTTGGTGCAGTCCACGCAGGTGGGTGCAGGTGAGTCTGTTGGTGGAGGAAGCGCCGACGTGAGGCCAAGAAGAAGTTTCTTGGAAGCGATGTCGGCAAGTGTACGGAAGTTGGGGTGACCCAAGCGATGGTGGTAGAGGATGGTTGGGTTGGCGAAGCTGCGACACGAACACGGAGTGGTGCTGGCAGCTTGCGCTTGGGAGAGGGCGGCGAGAGGTGCAGGTGAACGCAGCATGTAGAGCTTGCTACTGTTGAGTGTGAAGCGTGCTAGGAGCTTGTTGGACTTAGGGTCGAAGAGGTCACAGTGATCCGAGTGTGCTGGGAAGATCGTGGTGACGCCTGCCCGTTGGAGCTCGTGTTGGGCCACGAGATTGTGGCGTAGTGTGGGAACACACATGCCGGTGACACTGCCCGAAGGAAAAGCTGGGCATGGAACTGTGGAGGAGCCCTTGGCGTGTGTTGTGAAATTGGAGTCTGCTCCTAGTAGACGGATTGGTGTCTCGTATGGCTTGAAGGAGTGTTCTTCCTTGAGAACCGTGTGAGTGGCCCCACTGTCGAGGGTGAACTCTATTGTGGCTGAGGTGCTTTGTGAGCCGGGACACTGCGAAATCGTCTCATTAATCATGGCAGTGCCAGGGAACAACATGTGGAGGCGCACATGAGCAGTGGGAGCTACAGCAGCCTGCACGGATTCCTGCGCTTCGACTTGATTGACCTTGCGAGGAGCACGATTGACCATCCAGCTTGGCGGCTTTGAGGCGGTCCCATTGACGGCATACCACTCGTCATCCTTTTTCTTGAAGCAGGAGGCAAGGGCGTGGTTGGTGCCGCCACACACCTGGCCGGCACGAGGGCCGCGCTTGATGACATAGGGACACGGGGGGAAGCGGTTGCGCTGGAATGGCGCCGAAGCGGCATAGGCTTGAGGCACGGGAGCGCGGATTGCATTGGCCTTCGCTTGAGCGATGTTGTCCTTTTCGCCAGAAAGGAGCGCGGATGAGACATTGGTAAATGTGAGGTCTGCAGGAGCAAGGCCCAAGAGCATCTTGCGTATGACTTCGTATGCCGGAGTGAGGCCGACTAGGAGAGCGGCTGCAGGGGCTTGCTCGGGGAAGACTATCCCCAACTGTTTGAGTTCACCATGAATGGACTGCACCTTGGTGACATAGTCCGCCATGCCTGGCGAGTCCTCGAGCCGCACTTGGAACATGCTGGGGATGAGTATAGCAACTCCCACTGCAGTCTTGTTCAGGAAGCGTTCCTCGAGGTAGAGCCAAATGGCGTTGGCAGACGGGTAGTTGTGGTAGGTTTCGACGAGTTGGGGAGGAGTGGTGCCCATGAAGACACTAATGACCGCACCATCGGCCTTCTCCCAATTCTTGTACTTGAGCAGTGCAGCAGCATAAACTGCTTCGGCGGTGGCATTAGCTGGATCGGCGGACCTCTCGGGTTTAGGAGGCTCTTTGCTGTCACCGATGTTGAGAAGGACGTCGGTGAGCTCGAGCCCCTTCACCTCGCGACTGAGGAGGTGCTTGTCGACACCATAGCGCCAAGCCTTGTAGTTGGAGCATGTGCCGTCCGGCTCGAGACGAAGGAGCGGGATCGGGTTGGCGAGTGAAGTGGTTGAGTAAGCCATTGTCGGTGTGCAGCGCGGCACTTCTGGAAATTGGTCGACGAGAATTGCTGAAAATCACTCTGACGGCTTTATCAAAATGCCGCTAAGTAAGAAATGGCGTCGGCGAAAATTCGTTAAAACGCTGACTTGAAACTGAATCTGAGCCTATGTCTAACCCGGGACCCACACACCCCCCCACACACCCCCAGGCCCTGTCCCGCAACTACACAGCTCTGCAACCAGCTCCGCAACCAGCTCTGCAACCAGCTCCGCAACTAGCTCCGCAACTAGCTCCGCAACCAGCTCCGCAACCAGCTCCGCTCCGCTTCAACCTGTGTACCTGCTCTTGCTTGACGCGAGACGTTCGTGGAGGCGATTTCGCGAGGGGAGTTCGCCTATTCTGGCGGGGTCTGAGGGGAAACTCGAGAACGAGTTTTAAGAGATGGTCGAAATTGAGATTCGACCAAGGAGAACCGAGAACGAGAAGCGTGAACGCTTCAGAGATGAGAACTTCAACGAGGTCGAGCGCGAAGGCGGTCGACGATGAGAGGCGCGACTGCAGAGTGGAGCACGTCGAAATTCCGACGACTCGAAACGAATGTCGCGACGATGAAGTGCGCGTAGCGCGGGCACGTTCAGATTAGGACCTTGATCCGCGTGTACGGATAGGTCGCTCTGATACCATGTAAGAAATAGAGTTGAAATGATTGATTAGGTAAGGAGCCCAAGGCTCTATAAGTACATGGCAAGGTGAGAGAGAATGGATGAAGGGGGAATTGGAGGGAATCCCCATTGGGATCTCCGGAATCTCCAATTGGGTGAGGTTGGAATTTGTGAGTACACCCCAACCCACTAGAACATTCACAACCTAAACTAGGATATAAAAGTACAAATACAAAAGTGGTATTTGCAATCTATTTCTAACATAGATGTGGGGAGAAAGAGCAAGGTGCCTTCTCTACGCTCACAACTTTTCTTTGCTCAGCCCGTGTCCTTCGCATCGCCGATCCTCACCCTCCATTTGAAGTAATCACATACTCAAGCAACATCGCCATTTGCGCAGTACAGTTACAGGACTTCGGCGAATGAGTGATGAAAGCTACACCCGCCTGAGCGAAAGTGCCTGATACATGATAAAGAGATCTCATGGTCATGCGCATGTTCAAAGTGTGGCGATGCTACCTGATGGGAGTAGAAGGGAAAGTACGGACAGACCATCGCAGCCTACAGTTTATACGTGCGCAACCACTACTCAACCCGTGACAGTTTCGGTGGTTGGATTTCATGGAATCTAATTTCTGTTATACGGTCACATATTAAAAAGGGGCATCCAATATCGCAGACCCGCTTTCTCGCCCATCCGCTCACCTCAACTCCATCATCCTCGCGCAAACCTCCCCGCTTGTAACAGGACTATTTACGTTAGGCGCGTAAGAACAGCTCGCAACATCTAAGGGAGTTTATTACGTAAAGATTGGGACTGCCGCATCTAGGTACCGGAATATAGTTAATTACGAGAGCTATTACTGCAAGAAGATGACAACAGCACAGCCTCAGGGCACTTCGGAATGGAAAAAACATGACAGCACTTGACCAGATATTATTTATGGCCCGACATGTGAAGGGATGTGCAGCGGTACGTGGCCTCATGCTGAACGTGCCAGACCATGTAGTTGTCGAAGGAGAAGCCAGCTGGACAGTTGCAGTCGACTCCGCCGCCCGAGCGTGCGTGGCAACTGGTGACCATAGATTTCATTACGGGACTGCCTGCCACGGGCGGCTGGAATGACGCGATACTTGTCGTCGTCGACGAGCTGACGAAGATGGCACACTTTGCCGCAGCCGAAGAAACTGCTCACCTCTTCATCTCAACCGTCGTTTGCCTCCACGGAATCCCATCGGCAATCATCTCCGATCGTGACACGAATTTCACCAGTAACTTATGGCGAAACTTATGGGATGAGTTTGGCATGCGTCTACAGTTCTCCTCCGCGCATCAAGTTGAAACTGATGGACAGACTGAACAAGCCAATTGGACAATGGAGCAACTACTTCGAGCCACATGTGGTGACGTGGTCGACTGGGAACAGCAACTGCCACTGATCGGGTTCGCGTATAACAACGCCCCATCACCCTCTGCCTGCCATTCCCCATTCTATCTGAACCACGTGTGCAGCTCGTAGTCACGCTGTGCTGCTACGTGTACCAGCGCCTGAAGAGTGGTCATCTTCCGGGTCAGGGCGAAGTCAATACCCTCGCGCTGACTGAAGCCTCTAGCAACGTAGCGTGCCTTGAACACTGGCGGCTCTCCAGGAGGGCGCTTCACCTTGAAGAGCCACCGGCCATTGACTACGTTCACCCCAGGTGGGGGAACTGCGTCGACGTAGGTGCCGGTGGATCTCCAAGATGCCATCTCCGCGTCCATGGCAGCTATCCACTGAGAGGCCCACGGTCCCGAGATGGCCTCAGCGTAAGTGCGAGGGGTCGGGATATCAAGGTCCTCTAGGTCACCCTCAGGGACTAGCAGCATGGAGCAGAGATGGGGAGTGGCCTCGGACAGGAAAGCGAGCTCGTTCTGACTGTCCTCTAGAACGTCATTGCCAAGGGCAGGTGCACCCCCAACGGACGGAGGACGGACAGGGTCAAAAACTAGAGCGGTGGTGTAGTCAAGTCGGCGGGTAGAGGCAAAGTCAGCGACGGCAGCGACAAGAGCGTCAAGACTGGAGACAGGGACGGTCGGGTCGGTAACAAGAGAAGCGAGAACGCGAGGGACAAGCTAGTTAGCGGCATGGATGAAGTGAGAGAGAGGAGGAGGGGAGACAATAAGCGACGACTGAGGAGGCGGCGGTAGAAGGGGACCACGAGATGCGTGAGAACATTGCAACATAGGGTGAGAGCACTGAAAAGGAGAGACAGGACGAGCAAGAGAGGCACGGTGAGACCACCAGCGAGAGGGGGGTGTCGGGTCAGGAGACAAGGGAGGAGACACAGCAGGAGAACGAGGGGGAAATGACTGGGTGGTGATTTTGAACTTCCGTGGTTCTCCCACCCTCCTTTTTTCTCCCGTCGCCAAGTGTCGCCCCGCAACCCTCTTGAGGTATGTCCGTCCCTTTTGCAACTCCCCCCTGTCGTTTTTTTGTGTCGCTGCACCCTTGCAAAGTTCGCTTGCCGGACAAAGATTCAAAGTCTTTGACTCTTGGTCTTATTTGAGTTGTTTCACATTTGTGAAACACGAGCCCTCACCTTATGCTAGCTTGATTGACCACCTTATGCGTTTCATATGAAGAACCCCTTTGTTCTCAACACCTAAGACCTCATATTGCATAACGGAGCGTTGCAAAAGAAGGCATCTTTTTCGGCTATCCTCGAGATTCCTTCCATGCGACGAGAACGGAATTCACAGTTCTCGCCATGGCGGTTGCTGTGTCTGCTGAGGCAGTCGATGACTTTCCTCCGGTCGGCTCGCTGACGCGCCACGAGCAGGTGACTTGGTTCATCTAGATCTATTACGATTGATGCCGGCTCGTATTCCCTTCTCCCGCTTACTAGTGGCTTCTTTCTCGAGTGTCCTGTACTACTAGTGATATCGCGTCGCCATCTCCTGGTATTCGGCGTGCTTTTCGTTCTTTCTCAGCCGTCTATTGCGTTGTCTGTATAGAATTTCTTTTACCATCGGTTATAGTACGAATCCGTTGTTAGGACGTGCGTCACAATGTGCACAAGTACGGCACGCAGTGCGACTATTGTACTCGTTAATAGCACCTGTTACACATCACAGGAACGGAAACGGAAGCATGCATCGTCAAAATCACAGTCACGGAAACAGAAACGGAACGGAAGCGCTAGAGAAGATGAGAGCACTGAATGCATATTTTAATGAAAACGTAAAATGATTCCGAGATCTCCTGACCTTCAACCTTCACTTCCGTTGCCAGCCGCCTCAGCGGCAGCAGCATGGCTAGCGGTGACAGCTCCCCCCCCCTCTCCGCACTTCCTCGCACGCGCTCCCCGCTTCCCCCCGATAGTACCATTGCGCTCTTCTATCCCCTCCTCCCCCCCCTTCCTTCCCGCTCCCCCTCTCCAACCCACGCTCTTCCCCAGGAAACATCAGCATGTGTGGCGGTGCTAGCAGCGCTGAGGGGCGTCCCCTCGTCGCCTCCATGGTCCCCAGACCGTCTATTTCACCCCCCCGTTCCCCGCGTGTCCCCTCCCTCAACCCCCCGTTCTCCCCCCAGGAGGCAGCGGCGTGTGTGGCGGTGGTAGCGGCGCTGAGGGGCTTCCCCTCGTCGCTGGTGCGAGTGAGCCTCGTGAGCGAGAGGGGCTTGAGGCGGGCTCGCGCCAGCATCGTGTCGGCGCCTCCCAACCAGCTCGACTACAACGTTCAGGTGCGTGTGTGTGTCCTCCACCCCGAGTGTGTGTTTCACCTGCGTGTTTTTTTTCCCCCCTAATCGGGCGAGCTTCATGAGCGAGAGGAGTTAAAACCTTTAAGTGCCAGCATCGTGTCGGCGCCTACCAACCAGCTGGACTCCAACGTTCAAGTGCGTGTTGTTCTTCTCACCTAACTGATAGCAGCGCCGACGCTGGTGAGAGTGGACCTGCGTTGTGTTGGAGCTGCTCAACCAGCACGACTACAGAATTCAAGTTCGTGTGTGCTTCGCCTGACCGCGCTGCTCGCCGGACCGCGCTGCTCACCTGACCGCGCCTCTCACCTGACCGCGCCTCTCACCTGACCGCGCCTCTCACCTGACCGCGCTGCTCACCTGACCGCGCCTCTGACCTGACCGCGCTGCTCACCTGACCGCGCCTCTCACCTGACCGCGCCTCTCACCTGACCGCGCCTCTCACCTGACCGCGCCTCTCACCTGACCGTGCCTCTCACCTGGCCGCGCCTCTCACCTGGCCGCGCCTCTCACCTGGCCGCGCCTCTCACCTGGCCGCGCCTCTCACCTGGCCGCGCCTCTCGCGTGAGAGTGCTTCTGGCAGAGTGTGCTTCTCACATGAGTGTGCTTCTCACACGACTGTGCTTCTCACATGAGTGTGCTTCTCACATGAGTGTGCGTCTCACACGAGTGTGCTTCTCACACGAGTGTGCTTCTCACACGAGTGTGCTCCTCACACGGGTGTGCTTCTCACACGGGTGTGCTTCTCACACGAGTGTGCTTCTAACAGGAGTGTGCTTCTCACACGAGTGTGCTTCTCACATGAGTGAGCTTTTCACCCGGCTTTACATGAGTATGCTTTTCACGCAAACTCACAAGGCTGCAACCGTCACTGGCAGCCTCTGCAAGGCATCAGCACATCGTGCATGCCCCCTCCGCCCTTCTGCCCCCTTCTCTCCGCCCTTCTGCCCCCTTCTCTCCGCCCTTCTGCCCCCTTCTCTCCGCCCTTCTGCCCCCTTCTCCGCCCTTCTGCCCCCTTCTCCCCCCTTCTGCCCCCTTCTCTCCGCTCATTCCTCTTCTCATCCCGCCCCAGGCGGACGTGCAAACTCTACTCCCTCTCATGTGCCACGCCGCTCTCCTGCGCCACTTCACCGAGCGCCACGAGTCTGCCCGTGCGCACGGCTTCCTGCTGCACACATCGCTGCCAGAGGCGCCTGGCCTGCCGCTGGAGCGGCAGCACACCACCCACTGCCTGCAGGCCCTTGCCCAGGCCACCCGCGTGTTCCTTGATGTAAGGCGATGCACTTCGTACCCTGTTTTGTAAGCGTTGTGTCAACCAGTGTCGTGAGCTTTGTGATGCGCACGTTGCTGCCAGAGAGGCCCGGTGGGCCCCTTGACTGGCAGCACGCCTGCGCACAGGTCCTCGCCCAGGCCCCACGAGTGGTCCTCGAAGTAAGGCAAAGCGATTCGCGTCATTTTGTGTGATGCACTTCTGCTGCTGCCCTCCTGAATCTCCTTCGCCTTCTTGCCTGCTGGTGGGCCTCAACCTCGATTCTCCTCACCACGTGTCCTCCCACCCACCACCCCTGCCATGCTGCCGTGAAAGCTGAAAGCTGAAAATAGTCTTTGAAGAGAGTCCTTTTGGTTTGCCCATCCCCGCTATGCCTTCATCACTCATTCACCCCTTCATCACTTGCCTCTCACACTCATTCACCCCTTCATCACTTGCCTCTCACACTCATTCACCCCTTCATCACTTGCCTCTCACACTCATTCACCCCTTCATCACTTGCCTCTCACACTCATTCACCCCTTCATCACTTGCCTCTCACACTCATTCACCCCTTCATCACTTGCCTCTCACACTCATTCACCCCTTCATCACTTGCCTCTCACACTCATTCACCCCTTCATCACTTGCCTCTCACACTCATTCACCCCTTCATCACTTGCCTCTCACACTCATTCACCCCTTCATCACTTGCCACTCACACTCATTCACCCCTTCATCACTCGCCTCTCACACTCATTCACCCCTTCATCACTCGCCTCTCACACTCATTCACCCCTTCATCACTTGCCTCTCACACTCATTCACCCCTTCATCACTTGCCTCTCACTCTCATTCACCCCTTCATCACTTGCCTCTCACACTCATTCACCCCTTCATCACTTGCCTCTCACACTCATTCACCCCTTCATCACTTGCCTCTCACTCACGCTCATTCACCCCTTCATCACTTGCCTCTCACTCTCATTCACCCCTTCATCACTTGCCTCTCACACTCATTCACCCCTTCATCACTTGCCTCTCACACTCATTCACCCCTTCATCACTTGCCTCTCACACTCATTCACCCCTTCATCACTTGCCTCTCACACTCATTCACCCCTTCATCACTTGCCTCTCACGCTCATTCACCCCTTCATCACTTGCCTCTCACACTCATTCACCCCTTCATCACTTGCCTCTCACACTCATTCACCCCTTCATCACTTGCCTCTCACACTCATTCACCCCTTCATCACTTGCCACTCACACTCATTCACCCCTTCATCACTCGCCTCTCACACTCATTCACCCCTTCATCACTCGCCTCTCACACTCATTCACCCCTTCATCACTTGCCTCTCACACTCATTCACCCCTTCATCACTTGCCTCTCACTCTCATTCACCCCTTCATCACTTGCCTCTCACACTCATTCACCCCTTCATCACTTGCCTCTCACACTCATTCACCCCTTCATCACTTGCCTCTCACACTCATTCACCCCTTCATCACTTGCCTCTCACACTCATTCACCCCTTCATCACTTGCCTCTCACACTCATTCACCCCTTCATCACTTGCCTCTCACACTCATTCACCCCTTCATCACTTGCCTCTCACGCTCATTCACCCCTTCATCACTTGCCTCTCACACTCATTCACCCCTTCATCACTTGCCTCTCACGCTCATTCACCCCTTCATCACTTGCCTCTCACACTCATTCACCCCTTCATCACTTGCCTCTCACGCTCATTCACCCCTTCATCACTTGCCTCTCACACTCATTCACCCCTTCATCACTTGCCTCTCACGCTCATTCACCCCTTCATCACTTGCCTCTCACACTCATTCACCCCTTCATCACTTGCCTCTCACGCTCATTCACCCCTTCATCACTTGCCTCTCACTCACGCTCATTCACCCCGTGCCATTCTGCTGTGCTGTGCAAGCACGAAAGGCTTGTCTGCATCAACACCTGATGCCTTTCATGCCATGCCACCCCGTTCTTCTGTGTGCGCCAGAATGCCGCCATGCTGCTGTGCAAGCTGGAGGCTCAATGCCGCACCCATGGCATGGGATTGCTGGAGCTCAAGCGGAGCATTCAGGTACTACAAAGCGGAGCATTCAGGTACTACAAAGCGGAGCATTCAGGTTCTACAAAGCGGAGCATTCAGGTACTACAAAGCGGAGCATTCAGGTTCTACAAAGTGGTGCATTCAGGTTCTACAAAGTGGTGCATTTAGCAGTTTTCTCGTTCTGGTTGACTCTTTCGTACATGCTGTGGTGTGGTGTTTCTGTGAGCTGTTTACTTACACCAAGACTGCCTGCATTGCTGCATATTCTCCAATGCCTCTGCGTTGCAATGTGATTTGAAAACGACATCATCGCCATCCCCAAGGCCTCCCTGCCTCCTGCCTTTACAACCCATAGCGGACGGAATGAGGGTGCTCACCACCGTTATGAGGGGTGTGGAGGACAGCGGATGTGATTGGGCTCCTTCCATGACCCATGGGCTCCTTCCATGACCCATGGGCTCCTTCCATGACCCATGGGCTCCTTCCATGACCCATGGGCTCCTTCGATGACCCATGGGCTCCTTCCATGACCCATGGGCTCCTTCCATGACCCATGGGCTCCTTCCATGACCCATGGGCTCCTTCCATGACCCATGGGCTCCTTCCATGACCCATGGGCTCCTTCGATGACCCATGGGCTCCTTCCATGACCCATGGGCTCCTTCCATGACCCATGGGCTCCTTCCATGACCCATGGGCTCCTTCCATGACCCATGGGCTCCTTCCATGACCCATGGGCTCCTTCCATGACCCATGGGCTCCTTCCATGACCCAGGGGTTGCCACGTCACTCACGTCACCCCCAATGTGCGCCCCTTTCTCCTCCCTTGACAGCCCATAGCGGACGGAGTGAGGGTGCTCTCTCCCGTTGTGAGGGAGGTGGAGGACAACGGTTGTGGATCCACAGAGGTTCTTGACATGCTGCACACAGCGGTATGTATGGGTGACACACAGTTGGCAGTGATTCGCTTTCTTGGGGAACTTAGAAAGCACACATCGGTATGGACAGCACACGGTTGGCAGTGCTTCAAAGCCACTTAGCTGTGGGGTTGACACATTCGCTCCCCATGTGCTATATTCCACGACCTCCCTCAGGATGCCTCCTTCTAATTCTCCAAAAATGTATTTCTGTTGCTATATAGAACTTGTGTTACGTGGTGGGGAGTCTTTGAGGAGAGAAGTTGCCCAGTAATCCACACAGTCATTACTGACTTAGACAGTCTTGTTTGTCTCGCATTCCCCTGCTGCTCTTTGCCAACGCCTGTTTCTCTCTCTACCCCCTTTCTCTACTCAACCCCTTTCCCCTGATGCTCCCTCCTCTCTGCACCCGCTTGCTTCTTTCCTCGCCCCATCTCTCTCCCCGCAGTCAACCCAGCCGGATGTGAGGGAGGCAGAGGACCTCATTCGCTTTGTGCTGCACGCCACATGCGCACCCTACCTCCAACTCCTCTCCTCGTGCGTTACTTGCTCTTGACCTCTTTACCTCTATCTCAAATGCGCGCCCTACCTCCAACTCCTCTCCTCGTGCGTTACTTGCTCTTGACCTCTTTACCTCTATCTCAAATGCGCGCCCTACCTCCAACTCCTCTCCTCGTGCGTTACTTGCTCTTGACCTCTTTACCTCTATCTCAAATGCGCACCCTACCTCCAACTCCTCTCCTCGTGCGTTACTTGCTCTTGACCTCTTTACCTCTATCTCAAATGCGCGCCCTACCTCCTACTCCTCTCCTCGTACGCTTCGTTTTTGCATTTCATTCCTCGGCGAGGATTCCTCGTATGCTGCATGCTCTCCCTCCTCTCACGTTTGTTTCTTTCCAGCTGCTCTTGCTCTTACCACCGCTGCTGCTCTTGCTCTTACCACCGCTGCTGCTCTTGCTCTTACCACCGCTGCTGCTCTTGCTCTTACCACCGCTGCTGCTCTTGCTCTTACCACCGTTGCTGCTCGTGTTCCTGACCTGCTGTTTATGCATCACATACTGCAGCGCATTGCACCCACTCCCCCTCCTCCACATACCCATCAACCCTCAGGTGGATGCATGAGGGCAGGCTAGATGACGACATTCACAGTGAGTTCCTCGTTGCTGCATGCAGCACGACTACAGCAGCAGCTGCTGGTGCTGACGCTCCCCACCACGCTGCCACTCCCTCTGCCGCTGGTCGGAGAAGCAGAAGCCCTCACTCCATCACGGACAGTGACGAGTTACGGCTGATGACGCATGGTGGGGCGCGGGAGGGCGAGGAGGAAGAGGGGAAGGGCAAGGGGCAAAGGGGGCGGAGAGGACAGAGGGAGTGGCGGGGCTGGGAGGAGCCAGGATCGGAGCCAGGATCGGAGCCAGGGCAGTCGTTTGTGATGCGCCATCCCGTGCCGGCGCTGTTGCAAGCGGTGGCTGACGATGTGGTCGCCACGGGGCAGCTGGTGCATGCGCTGAGGCAGCACGGATGGTTGAAGCAGGTGGGTAAATAGCTGGGATCAGGTGCGTGCATGGAGTGTGGGTGTGGCTCATGATGTTTCCCGCCACGGGCACCTGGTGCACGCGCGGCAGCAGCAGCATGGGTGCTTAGAGCAGGTGGGTGGGCGGGGCGGTGTGTGCAGTGCTGGGATGGGATCAGCCGATGCATGGGTCACTGTGTGGAGGGTGCTGTGCTCGCTCGCCATTCGTCAGGTCAGCGGGTGGATGCTTTGAATGAGCATGGCTGTTTATTGCATGTGGGTGGAGAGAGGGTGTGTGCGAGATGGTGTGCCTAGTTCTATTCTCATGCCGTTGCGGGCCTGAATTGCCCTCAATCTTGCCCTCCTCTTTGCCCAACGCTCCTTCTCCCTCCCCCCATTCCTTCCCCCTCGCACCACAGCTGCCTTCACAGGGAGAGGCGGCACAGCCGCAGATGCAGCTGTGCATTCGGAAAAGATCATTGCTGTGTGAATCCTCGTCTTACCCACGCTCCTCCTCCGCTCTCCCATGCCTCCCCCCTCGCACCACAGCTGCCTTCACAGGGAGAGGCGGCACAGCCGCAGATGCAGCTGTGCATTCGGAAAAGATCATTGCTGTGTGAATCCT